AATAGAAGATAACGATAACGCCTTCTATCGTATGTAGATGCTATGCTTCCGGCCCTGAAGCTGCATAATGCTCAAAGAAAAATATATTGATGGCCAGCAACTTAGAAAAAAAACTTTCAAAACTTCTAGAAACTTTTTAATTATGTACTCGTTCTCAATTTTTATAAAAACGTTTCCAAAGTTGTTTATGGCATATTTAGTCCAGAATCACATATTTCAAGCATTAGACCCACCTTTAAAAACACGGTAGCAGAACATCCGTGCACCAACTGCCTCGTTTCAACCGCGAACTTTGCACCATTTTTTCCTGATTTTGAGAGAGACACTGGCGTGGATCCCCAGTAGTTTCCGGATTCGTCCGATTGGAAGGGTGGACATAGAGCAGGATTTTCTTCGTCTTCTTCATTACTCTCTTGATGGTCGTTTGGGCGCTTGTTTCCTCTTGTTCAGCTTTGGAGCTATGTAACTCGGCCTACATGTTGATTTATTACCCTAATAAAAGTGACTGGAGCACTGAAATGATTTTTCAATGTAACAGTACTCACATGCATTGTAAAAGGAAGATTTTACTACATATCTTCCCTCAAAGATAGACTGTTTCAGAACTCACAATCAGGGTCATCCGTTTTCTAGTCTTTAATTGCGAAGTTTCGAAGAACCGACATGCCCTGCTGTACCGCACTTTCTCTGGTAAGAGCTGAAGGTTTTTGAGAGGACTTCAATAAAAGTTTTATGTTCGTCTCAAATGGCACCTCTAGAAATTGTATGCGCGCGCCCACACACACTCAATGCCATATCCTGTTTTCAAAAAACGAGGAAGTCCTCGACAGTGGGGGTCATGACAGAAGGGCGCGACATCTCTGGAACAGCGATTTTCAAAGAACTGTAATTCCATCGGCGAGCTATTGCAACTAAATTTTCGGTTATAATCCCCGTGATGGAGCGTATGCGAAAAAAAAAACAGTAAAAATCCAAGAAAAATACCCTCTTGCCTGTTGTTGGCTTTCGGGAGGAAGAGATTACCGCTCATATGTGGCCGACAGGGTGGCCGAAAAAAGTAGGACGCCATGTTTTGTGTGCAAAAGCCAAGAAAGAGAATCGATCAGGAAACCGACTTCACACAAAGATAGAGTTAAGCTATTTGATCACTTGTGCAGAAGGTGCTTTGAATTTGACGACTCTGCTTTGAGAGAGGCCTTCTGACGTCCAACGACAAAATCAGCAGTGCGCCGCAGGTAGCCAACGGCGATGTCGTCCCACCTCTTCTGAAGCGCTAACTTCAGAGCACCCACCGAGCTGGAGAAGTCTTTGAGGTCTTGCTCTACAACATCCTCACATAGAGGAGTCCACTGGTTGAGGGCCTAGAGGGAGAAGGTCACAATTCCTTGCTCCAGTGGCCCGGGAAGTGAGCACCTAGGATGGCTTTGGTCGATTTGAACGCGTATTAGGGAGCCCAGCTTCTTTGGAGCAAACGATCAGTGAGCAAAATGCTCGTAAATCTAGAACAACATACCGTACCTCATAGGGTCTTTTGCAAAACCTTCGAGTTAACTTTTAACATTTCCTGAAATTTCAATTTTCCTCGGCGTCTCTAGAACTCAATTCAGCAAATTCGCTACACTTTGTTTCGCTTAGATTTTATTTGAAAGCATCGAAACTCTCTTCAGAAAGTTTGTCTGCTTACGGCCGCTGACAGAGGAGGCGTTTTTATGGGAAAACGCCTCGGGTATACGCCGTGCACCTATCTGTGGGCAGAGTTCGCACTCGCATTTTGAAGTCTTCTGTTTTCCTGAAGAAGGTGTTAGTATCCTGATTGAGTTGTATTGTGCTGTTATATGGCACTCTTGTTTCACTTTCCCATGAACTGCTCTACACTTTGTTCTCCTCGGGATTTCAGGAATGTTTCATCATCGAAGACAGACCATGTTTTTGCACTACACTGTAACAAAGTTTTTGGCTATTGTCTATTGTACTCTTGATCTATGCCGCGGAGCAAAAGCGCCGTCCGGATAGCGTCGCTTAAGGATAATAAGCTGATGGTGAGACTTATAGTGCTCTGCATGCTTTAATGCTCCCATGGAGCTCATGTCTGTGTGACTCTCCGACAGCGTGCAGAGCTCCTGGAGAACATTAGAGGCTGAAAGTGCACTCCCGGACACTGCACTTTTCAAGCCGTCTTGCAGCCCGTCTGTGGATACGACCCCCTCCCTTTTCGGTCGGCTGAATACGACCCCCTCGTTGTTCTTTGCGCAACGCAGGGTTGACCCTGTTACAGCTAGCCGCAAGCTATGGTGCTTCGTTGCCAAACAAAGAGGGACCCGAAAGATAATCAGCTCGACACTCAGACCACATGGAGTCGTGGTTTCAATCTCTCCAACTTGTCGGCGGTGGGCGTTTCTGAGAACTGAGCAGGGCTTTGAGGCGTTCAGTGCCTCGCCACGCTTTTGTAGCTTACTTTCTGCCTCGAAAGCGCCCCCTATCACGTACCTGGACTCCTCTGAGCTGTTACTACCCATATTTTTGAATATTTCATGGAACATCCGCTTCATCGCAACTTTTGTCCTTAGAACGAAATGGCTGCCCACAATAATATTTGCACTTGTACATTTCGAAACTCGTCATCGTTTCGAAAGTTATGAAACGTTTTCCGCATGTGTAGGGGTGAGTAAACATTTATTTCACATATATTTTTTGAAGCTTTATATGATGCTTCCACAAAGTATTTAAGAGTGCTTCAGATTGTGAGTTACTGGCATGATGCACTTCTTCATTTTTTCTCTTCCGGTCCTTTCGGCTTATCCGTTTTAGCTTTTCGTCGGCACCCTTTTCTTTTGATTTCTCCGTTTTGGCCTTTTCGTCGACGACCTTATCCTTAGAATTTTTTGTTTTTGTCTCCTGGACCATTTTCTTTATTATCTTTGGGTTTGTCCTCGGACACTTTTTCTTTACTAGGCTTGTTTTTATTTTCAGTAGTCTTTTCTTTAGCATCCTTCGTTTTGTCGTTTTCCTTGCTATTTACCTTGTCGTTGGAGCCTTTCGTTTTAGTTTCGTTTATCTTTTCTTCTGGACTGCCGCCCTTCTCATCCTTAGCTTTGTCCGCTTCTTTAGGCTTCATTCTAGACTGTTTACTTTTGTCACTTTGCTTGTTTCCACTGGAAAGTCGATATTAATTTCGTGGAGATCCCTCCAAATGGCTCAAATGAAAATATGCATAGTGCTCAGGCAAATGCTGACAGGATGAGCTCACCAAAGCTTGCCCTTCTTATCATTTTTCTTAGGAGTCTTCTGCGGTCCTTTTCCTTTGCTTTTCGCTTTTGATTGCTCGGTCTTACGAGTTTTTGAACTAAATGTTTGAATTATTATTCACAAGTTTGTCAAAATTGACCAATTTTAGTAAATGCAGGGTTTATATC